CCAGGGCCGGCCCAAGTGGGAGCATCAGGGTGACTTGACGGAGGAGCGCGTGCTCACATCACTCTCAAAACCACTGGGCAAATGTTTGAAGTTCTTCCACCTTGCCCAAATGTCCACAACCGCTGAAAACTACACAGCCTGGGCTGCTGGAATCATACCCACTGCCTTTTTTAAGGAGCCTTCAAAGGGGTTACGCAGCCGCAGGAGATGGAGGCGGCGGAGGGCCACATGGCAGTTCTTGCATTTGTTGCACTACATGGGCCAAGAACATGCAAACGGGTAGATAACATCAAAGCATGAACACGGCGAGCGCTGTTTGCGGAGCCAAGTGAACATCGAGCATGAACAAGAAAACCGTGACTTGTAGTTCTTGCCAGTTCTTGCCAGTTCTTGCCGAGGTTTGGTGCTTCTTGCAAGTCCTTGCTCATGATAAATACTTCTGGGTCAAGAACCTACAAGTGGGTCAGCGTCGCTTGGCTGGCGCGAAAATAAAATCACAGCGTGGCAAGCGGCAGCTGAGGAGCCGAGACTCACATGCAGCTGGTCGACATGAACTTCGCCAAGTCGCGCGAAGCCACAAGCGGATCCGCTATCAGCCGTTGCTTACCCTTCCCCCGAGACCTGCTTCTAGCAAGGCTGTCTTGAAGCTCCAGAGCTTTCTCAAGACCACTCATGGTTCCTACAACCCTGAGTCTTGGTGCGCCAAAAACTACATGTGGGTCAAGAGCATGCAAGTCTGGTAGACGTGAACATCATGAACATCAAAGCAAGAACATGGCGCGCTCAAGCTGAGGAATCGAGACTCGCGTTCAGTTTCTCGAGCACCAGCGCGGCAGCCAAGCGTGGTTCTTGCCAACTCAAGACGCCAATTTGTTGTTCTTGGCAGTTCTTGCATTTTTTGCACTACATGGGCCAAGAACATGCAAATGGGTAGATAACATCAAAGCATGAACACGGCGAGCGCTGTCTGCGGAGCCAAGCGAACATCGAGCATGAACAAGAAAACCGTGACTTGTAGTTCTTGCCAATTCTTGCCAGTTCTTGCCGCGGTTTGGTGCTTCTTGCAAGTCCTTGCTCATGATAAATACTTCTGGGTCAAGAACCTACAAGTGGGTCAGCTTCGCTTGGCTGGCGCGAAAATAAAATCACAGCGTGGCAAGCGGCAGCTGAGGAGCCGAGACTCACATGCAGCTGGTCGACATGAACTTCGAGCATGGACAGAGTGCACATACACACTGGCGCAACAGACAACACCAACCAACCAACCAACAAACAAACAAACAAACAATCAAACACGCACAAACAAACAAACCAGCGAATAGTACGCAACAACCACAACAACAGCAACCACAACCACAACAACAACAACCGCCCAGAACAACTTAAAACAACTTAACAATGAACCACAACAAACGACACACAAACACACAAGCAAACAAACACACAAGCGAAAAACAAACCAAACGAACAAAAGCACAAACTTACAAACAAGCAAACAAACCAACAAACCAACAAACCAACAAGCAAGCAAACAACACCAACCTAACAAACAAACAGACAAACCAAAACAAACACACACACACACATGACAAAAAAGCAAACCAACCAACCAACCGGCGAACAAATAACAAACAAGCAAGCAAACAAACCAACAAACAAACAAACAAAAACACACACACATGCGCAACCAAAAGCAAGCAAACAAACAAACAAAGAAAAACAAACAAACACACAACCAAAAACCAAAAACAAACAACACACAAAGAGACAAAATACGCACGGACACAAGCACACGCAACACACAAACAAACAAACAAACACAAACAAACAAACAATCAATCAAACAAACAAACAAACAAACACACACAAACAAACAAACAAGCGCGAGCAAAAACAAATGTACAAGAAAATATCAAACACGCAAAGAAACCAAAAAGCAAACATAAAAAAAAAAACAACGTCGCGCGCGAGCAAACAAACAAACAAGGCAAACAACTTTTCGCATTTTTCAATTTCCGCGAAGGAACCTAGAAACACCAAAGTGCAAACTGCACTCTGCGCAGTGCAGTTTGCGCCGGCCAGTTTGAAAACTGCACCCTGCAGAGTGCAAACTGCGCTCTGCAGAGTTGCGCTCTGCAGAGTGCAGTTTGCGCCCGTTTGCTCCCGGAGTAAATTTCACATTTACTCCCGGCTCATTTCCTCCACTTCGGAGTAAATGCATCTACTCCCGGAGTAATACAAACATGACCTAAATCTACTCCATTTGAATCTGTCAGGCTTCTCTCCTCTCTGCTCTTTTTTCTGCTCTCCCCATTTTTTTAGCTTTTGTCATCTCTGCTCATTTGCCATCTGTTCTCCTCTCTTCCCATCTCTTCTCATATTTGTCAATTTCTTTCCATCTCGTTTCTATCTCTTGTTCTCGCTTGCTCCTTTCTCCGATTTGTGTCCACCTTTCCCATCTCTTTTCTTTTCTTCTTTGCCTCATCTCCTTTTTTCGCATTTCTTCTCTTCTCTTCCCTCCTCTCGTTTCTCATCTTCTCTGCCCTTCTTTTCTCTTCTCTCCTCTTCTCTCCTCGTCTCTTCTCTTCTCTGCTCTTCTTTTCTCTTCTCTCCTCTTCTCTCCTCTTCTCTTCTCTTCTCTTCTCTCAGTTTTTCCTCTTCTCTCTTCTCTTCTCTTTCTTCTGCTCTCCTCGTTTTTTAACCTCTTGTCATCTCGTCTCATTAACCTTTAACCTTTAACCGCTTCTCTTCTTCTCCGCTTCTCTCATCTTTCTCCTCTCCTTCTCTTCTCCTCTTCTACTCTTCTCCTCTTCTCCTCTTCGCCTCTTCCCCTCTTCTGCTCTTCTCCTCTTCTTCCTCTTCGCCTCTTCGCCTCTTCTCCTCTTATCCCCTTCTCCTCCTCTCCTCTCTTCGTTTTTTGCTCTCTTCCATTCCTCTTCTCCTCTTCTGCGCTTCTCTTCTCTCTTCTCCTCTTCTCCTGTTTCTTTCGTCTTCTCTACTACTCGTTTTTTTTTGATTTGTGTTCTCCTCTTCTCCTGTTTTCCTCCTCCTCTCTTTTCCTCTTCTCCTCCTCTCCTTATCTCCTCTTCTCATCTTTTTCTTCTCTATCATCTTCTCCTCTTGTTCTCTTCCCCTTCTCTTCTCCACTTCTCTTCTTCTCCGCTTCTCTCATCTTTTCTCCTCTCCTTCTCTTCTCCTCTTCGCTTCGTCTCCTCTTCTCCTTTTCTCCTCTTCTCTTCTTCTTCTCTTCTCCTCTTCTGTTCCCCCCTTCCTTTTGTTTCTCCTCTGCCCCTATTGTCCTTTTTTCCCGTCTTCTCCTCTCGTCTTTTCCTCTTGTCTACTCTTGTCCTCTACTCTTCCCTTCTTATTCTCTCCTCTTCTCATCTTCTCGTCTTCTCCTCTTCTTTTTTCCTTTCCTGCCTCTTCTTCTTTCCTTCTACCCCTTGTTTTCCATTGTTTCTTTTTCGGACTGGGCAGGTGCTCAGTGTGGTCCAACTCGGCGCGGCGCTGGCGGGGGCCAAAGAGAGAAGTTCAGAGTAGAGGGAAGGAGAGGGGGAAGAAGAAACAGAGAGGTGAAGAGGAAACCGCAGGCGGAAAGTGTAAACACTTTAGGAGACAACGAGAAAAGGCAAGGATGAGCACGGTGAAGAGAATAAGATACTGGACCTCGAGCAGGCAATGTGGAGCACTTTGAGACATTAACTTACAAAAGGAAAGGGATTGGAGGCACAAGTGTTCAGGTGTGAGGGGGAGGTGGTGACTGTCGCAGACCAGGCCCCGGACGCGTTTTGCACTTGATCCGTGTCCTATCTTGGCTCCCTTGCATCCTGGCCAGACGTCCGACAAGATCCCGCTGGGGTCCGTGGAGGTCGCTTTTGAGCTGGGCCGGAAGTACCTTGGCAAAACGTGGTTCAGGCTTAACTTGTTTCTCTGCTTGCTCGCGTCTTGTGTTCGGGCCCCGATTGTTTTTTGTTTTAGGTTTGGAGGGCGGTGGAGGGGTCCCTGGAAGTGAAGCAGCGAAAGAACACCGTATCTCCCATGTTCGGATTGTGATGTTCGCATCGTGGAAAAACAGCAAAAACTGTGTACTTCTGATGCTGGTTACTCCTGGCGTCAGAGGGAGAATAAGCAGTCGCGGAAGAGACAATGCTGCTCTTGCTGGAAGTTATGTGCGTGTTGCGGAAACAGGAGCGGGGGCTAAACTTATTGTTGTGAAATTGCTCAGCCTGACACACCCTTTACACATGTTACACGCGTGCGTTACCTTGCAACGCAGGAAATGACATGACATTATATCACGTGCGCGGCGCTACAAGACATTGCGTACCGTCGCGTTGCATCACGTTGCGGTGCTACACACAGACACGCAGACAGACGCACAGACATAAGTACATACAGACAGACATACACACGCACACACACACACACGCATACATACACACATAGACACGTACAAACACACACACACACACGCACAGACACACGTACATCAGGGCATGTAGATCTCGCAAATCTTCAGCCACCATCCAGAGAACTGCCGTGTGTAGCAGTCATTTGCTGCCGCAACAACTTTGTAAAGTTCCCGTTTCGTTACGCCTTTCTTTGGATGTGACCGGGTCTTGTGGCTGAGGGACGTGTGTTGACCTGTGAGGAAAAGCGAGTGGTTGACGTGAGAGATGGCTTCACTGTTGCGACGGCAAACGCGTTCGCGCAGCAGCTGTTCTGGCAGTGAGGGAGGGGAAACTACAGAGAGAAGCAGAGAGAGAGAGGGGGATAATTAAAAGGGAAAGAACAAATACGAACATGTCTGCGGATCATTGCAATTGGTGAGAGGAAGAGCGCCAAGGTGGGTGGCGCCAACTGATTTGGCCACGGCGCTGAGGAAGTTCTGAATGCGCGGCCAAACAAATTGCGGCAATTTGGGCGGCCGCTTTGCGCCACTTTGGTCTTGCTTCCCGGCTGCTTCCCTTGTGGGCAGGAGCGGGTTCTTTAAATGCCAGGTATTCATCCCACAGCCAGTGGGCCGTTGTGATCCTATTTGCCCTGATGGTGGGCGTGGTGGCTGCAAACTGTTTTCCCGGCCTTGTATTGCCGAGGTTCCTCTTGATGTCGCTGTTTTCACATGTGAAACTGCTCGTTTTCCCACACTTTCGAATCTTTTCGTATTTCCTCCCATTCCTTCCTCATTCCTTCTTCCTTCCTCATTCCTTCCTTTTCCTCTTCTCTCTCCACTTCCTTCTCTTTCTTAACTCGCATTTCGTCTCTCGTGTTTTTCTCTATGTTTCGTCTCGTGCCAGGTCTGCCGCAGCCCACGGAGGTGGATGCCCTCGCCTTGCAGGAGAGAGAGACGAGCTTAGGAAAAGGAAGAGAGAAAGAAAGAAAAGAAAAAGAAAAGAAAAAGAAAGAAAAGGAAGAAGGAAGAGAGGAAAGAGGAAAAGAGAAGGGGAAACACGGGCTTCGAGGGACGCTCGAGAGAAAGGCAAGAGGAAGGGAAGGGAAGGACGGGAAGAAAAGAAGGAGAGAGAGAGAGAGGTGTTAGAGCTCGGATGTCAAAGTCGAGGAAAAGAAAACTCGGACAGAAAACGAGCACTTGTTAGGAAGAGAAGGTGAACTCGCAAGACCTTCGAAGAACACGAGACGAAATCAGAAAGCATTTAAAGACGAGAAAAGATGAGAAGAGGAAACGAGGAACGAACGGCGAGAACAATCGGAGCGAGAGAGAACTTGAATCGGATAACAATCGGAGAGGACGAAAAAGACGGAAGACGAAAGGAGTCGAATGTTTTCGTTTTCGATTCGAGCTCGATGTTTGCGAAAGACTTTCAGCCATGCCCACGAAGCGTCCTGGCAACATGTTGCTCGACTGATGGCAAAGACAGATGCGCAAAGCTACGCGTCATTCAAAAAGCTTGGAAGTTCAGCACAGGCCCTCAGGCACTCAAACACTCGCTTCTTGCGGCCAACACAGCTCGTGAAAGTCAACACCTGGACTCCAAACCTGCAACTTCAAGAAGTGGAGGTTTCAACAAATCGCGAGCCAAAACACATTTAGATGTTGATGACCACCGCAAGCAGACAACGCGCTTCCGAATGGTGATTCCACCCACCCTGAACCAATCGCGAATTGCAAGAAAACATAGGTGCAAGCAGCATGTGGGTGTATGCTTGTGTTCAGGCGTGGGCTGCGACGGCAGCCAGCGCAGCGCTCGTGTGAACTGGCAGTCGCAGAATCCGCAGAATCCCGTAACGTGCAAAACGTGCAAAATGATGTTTGAAAGCCGCCGTGAATCTCGTGTCGCGCTTGCTGAGTCTGGCTGCCGCTGTTGGCATGGCTCCTCACAAGCGCCGGAGACTGAGATCACCGAAGTGCAACGGGGTGCCTGAGCTGAGGACCCCCGTGCGCGGGCTTTGGATGGCGGGACTTGGTGTTGTGACGCTTGCCACTTGCTTAACGTGGCGTGCGTTGCGACAGGCCAAATGGCTCGCTGCAAGTATGGGTCCCCGCCCCGGGTGTGCCTTCTGTCTACTTCAATTTCTCCGACGTCCTTCCCCGTGTTGAATCTTCCCTGTTTCCCTGTTTCTCTCTTCCTCTCTTCCTCTCTTCCTGCTCTCGTTTCCTCCATCTCCGTCTTTCTCTCTTTCTCTCTTCCTCTATCCCTTATTCTGTTTTGTCCTTCGTTTCCTTTTTGCCTTTCTCGGACGACCGCCCTGTCCAATAATTTGTTTTTCCCTTTATTCTTTCTTCTCCAAGTCTCCTTTCTTTACTTTCAGTGCTCTTTCTGCTTTTTTTCCAAATATCTTGTCAGTCTTCTCACTCCTTCGCTCTCTGCTCACTCCTTCTTCTCTCTGTTTGTTTTCACTCTCATTTCTCTTATCTTCTCATTTGTTGTCTCTTGACTTTTCTTCTGGCATGCATCATTGCAGCTTTGTGACCTTTGGGATGGCCTCGCAGTTTGACAGCTTGTCAGGACTCTTGCATGTGCCTTCACATGATTTGCACATGGTTGTGATGAATTTGCCCTTTGTAAGCGGCGCTTCGCCCCGAACTCTGCCACCATTCTGGACGGGGTGATACGCTGCTTACACGCAGATTCTCGGCGCTCTCAGCGTGAGCGTCTTTTTCAGGTGCGTCTTCGAGCTGGCGCCGAGGACCAGGCACTGTCGCCGATGCCTGGCGCAGAGAAATCGATTGGCCGGGCCGGGCGCGTCAAGTCGCTCAATTGAGACGAAAGACGAAGAAAGAGAAGAGGAGAGGAGGAGAGGAGGAGAGGAGAAGAGGAGAGATAGAAGGATACATTTCAGAGAAAGAAGAGAGAAAGAGAGAGAGAGAGAGAGATTAAGACGAAGACCGGAAACGGGAACTGAGAAACGAAAAGGGAAAGCACACGAGGTGACAAGTGTGTGTCGGGCTTTGACCACCACTGCCTTTGGCTGAACACGGTGCGACACTTGGAGCATGAGAGACAGGTAGACACGGAGAGTGTAGAGCATATGCAGCATATGTGATGGCCTTGTGTGTGTTGCGTGTTTTGCGTGTGACTCTGTGACAGCACCCGCCTCCCCTCAGTGCATTGGTACTCGGAACTACCGGCCCTGGGTGGTTTTCCTGGCTGCGCTCTGCTTCTGGACTTTGCTCAGCGCCTCGGCTGTCTCGAGCAGAGTTGCATGTACATTTAGAGTACGACCATGAAATTCCTAGAAGTCTTCTCGGTTGTGTTTTCGATGTTGTTGAGTGACTTCGACTCAAGGCAAATCAATAGTTTATTCAAATCTGGGTGCAATGCATTTTTCAATTGAGACTCAGGCTCCTGCATTGCAGTTTCAGCGCTGTTCCGCAGCCGCCACGTGAGAAGGCGGGGGCAGTCGAGAAGTTGTGGGTCAAACACTCATTGTCAATTTGCCGAACAACCAATTGCTTCAATTGTTTCTTGTCTCTGTTTGCTGTCCTTTTGTTTTGTCTTTTGTACGCTTAGTGTTGCACCCAGTCGAAGACTTGCTGTTGGGCATCGACCAGCTGTCCTGGCCGGCATCTCAGTGGGGATAGTGGCTTTTTTGCTAAGCCAAAGCTCGCCAAAAAGGGTTGGCCTTGCATGACTAGATCAGTTTTATGCAGGGCAAAACTGTCTCATTGCAATACATTGCCTATGCGACTAGGAGTGGGATTGCGAAGCAGTTCCGAAACTCAAAGTTGTGCGAGTCTCTTCGAGTCTCTCCGAAGCTTCGACTTCTACGCTGTGAGGTCACTGGCGCGCTGGCCACGCTGACCACGGCCTGGCTGCTTATGATCTTAGGCGCGGCGAGAAAGCGAGACGTGTGCAAGAAAGAGAGAACTATAAGAATATATTTTGAATCTACGAATCTAAGAGAGAAAGAAAGAGAGAGATCCCCTGCGGAAGTGCTTTCGGTTGCTTCGTTTTTTTAGCCCTGCACGCGTACTTCGCCTACGCGGGGATCACCACGTTGGAGTGGGCCAAGGGCGCTGCGCCGAAGGCATCTCTGAGGTGGGAAAGGTTGGTGGCGAACGGAGACATTCCCAGGGCTTTGACTTGAGGCATTCGCTCTCAGCTAGGTGTCAGAGGCTGGATTTTGCCATAGCTGGCCTGAGATGTCTGCAGCTCGATGCACTGGGCGCACAGTGTCATCACGAACCCCGAGCGATGCAGCGATGAATGATTGTTGCAGTTGGCTAGCTTTCAGCACATCTTGCCAGTTGCTTGCACCCGCTAGATTTGATGGGGAAGCAAGCAAGCTTAGTGTAAACGTGCCACGGTGCAAAGGGTGCAAAGGGTGCAAATGGGGACAAAGACCTGCGAGCGGACCTCAGACCTAGGTCATCAGCTCCTGCCTCTGCAAGAGAGGCGTTTTCACCCTTCCCCGTCTCATTCCCCCATGCGCACGCGTGACGCGGGTTACGCGGGGCGGTGAGCCCCATGCCAGGCGGCCGAATCCACAGGCTTCCGGCTCGCGCGCAGCTCGCGGTCGCAGGGCCGGCTCACGCTGCCAGGTGCGCGCGTCTTCGCACTGGGCCAAGCCCGGCCCCTTTCGCTCGAGTCGCTCGAGTCGCTCGAGTCGCTCGAGTCACCAAAGCTCGCATGGACATGTCAAAGTGCAAAGTCACTTCTTGTTTTTTTCTTTTTTTTCGGTCTCTCTGGCGCCTTCGGCGCCTTTGGAGCCTTTGGCGCCTTTGGCGCCTCGAGGCTTCGGGCGGTGGTGCGGGAGTGGGGCCCTGAGAGCTCGTAGCTCCTGGCTTGCTGAGCTCGCTGAGCTCGCTATCTCTAGGCCGGCGTCTCTCACGTGGCGCAGGCGGGACCCCAGACCGATCTATACCGACGACGATCCCGCGGCCAGGCGCTTGTCTTTGTCCTCTGTGGCCACCTTGGAGGATCCCTCCAGCGAGGATCGAGAGGCTCTCTGTGAGGGCTTGCTCAAGCTAGTACAAGCTTTGCGAAAGATTCAAGTCGAGAGTTGGAAAAGACCACTGCCAGGACAGTGGGCTCTCGGAGTGTCATAGCCCGCATTCTGTGTAGATGGCAACAGCTCAAGAGGAGCTGCGAGCCTTTGCGAGCTGAGCCAAATGCACAAGACAAGTTCGTGTCAACATTGACATGTTGGACTGTTGCAAGTGCAGCCGACAGTCTCAAAGTGAGTCATTGAGAGACCCGTTGAGATGTTCTCCAGGTGGCCCCGGGGCGGGAGCGGGCGGGCGGGCGGGAGAATCCGGGAGCCGGGAGCCGGGAGACGCAGGCTGGCCAGCGGGCTCCGCCCGAGCGGGCTCCGCCCGATCGGCCGGGCTCTCGGCCGCGGCCGCGGCCGCTAGGGAGGCTCCCGATCTGTCTCAAGCCCAGGCCTCAATGAGCAGACGAGGAATGCGGCCACACTCAAGACCCTCTCCATCCGGATGCGCGCAATCAAAAACATGCAGAAGATCACAAAGGTGGGCCGTTGCAACCCATGGCTATGCCTTGCAATTGCTGCAAGGCAATGAAAATGGTGGCAACAGCGAAGTTCAAGAAGGATATGAGGACGGCTACATGGGTGTACATCGCATGCCGATAAAATAGGGGAAGACGCACACATGCATCTATAGCAGCTGAGCACACATGTTGCATGCCTGTCAGCAAGGTCCAACGATTGAGCTGACAGCCCTGTTTTACACGCGAGCATGCACAGAGCTGTTTCAGGACGATGGAGAATGGCTTGCCCTTTGCCCAGCCTGTCTTGAACCTTTTTCAGCGCCTCCCAGTTGAGGAGAAGGCGCGCAAGAGAGAGAGAGAGAGAGAGAGGGGAACAGGGAAGAAGACATTGCTGACCTGAGGCAGGCCCAATCACCTATGTGGCCGTGACCTCTGACAAGGGCCTTTGTGGCGGCGTGAACGCGCAGGTGACGAACTGAGTGAGAGGTGAACTGATCCATGAGTTCGGATCTGAGCGCAGCCTTTCGACAGGTGGCCAAGCAGGTGCGGCTGGGCCTTGGGGCGGAGGAGGCCAAGGGCAACACGGCCAAGATCATGGTGGTGGGCGGCAAGGCGGGAGGGAAGAGAGAAGGGAGGAAGGGAGGGAGAGCACAAGAAGGGAAAGAAGGAAAGAAGCAAAGGGAGAAGAAAAACGAAAACCGCGTTCTGTCGCATGCACCTCAGGGCGTCTCAACCCTGAAGCGACTCTACGGAGACCGCTTTTCCACGACCTTTGAGGACCAACTCTTTGGGTTTGGTAAGTGCAGATGTCGCTTTGTGAGGCAAAAGGACGTTTCACCCAACCAATGTGAAAAAGATGCCTTTCGGACGCCAGGAGTGCTCAAAGGTGCCCTTCACCTTCGCGGCAGCATCTTTGATCGCTGAGCGAATTGCTCTCAGCAAGCCGGCGCGATGCAAGGCGCATTCGCACTGCAGCACTGCAGCACTGCAGCACTGCTCGCGAAATGAGATCTAAACAATCTGTGTATTTCATGCGCATGTAAGGTCCTGTCAGGTCCTGTCAGTTCCTGTCAGGACCCGAGGGGCCGCTTGCTCAGGTGGTCAGCAACCAGTTCAAGAGCATGGTGTCCTATGACACCATTGCAAGGCACACCTTCACCGTTGACGAGGCATGACTTGAATAAAGGAATGTGTGAGTTTCGCTACTTGTACCTAGGCCACAACTATGGACAGAGGAGAATGGACCAAGGCCATGGATGTGTATTCTTTCGAGCCGTCCATCTATGAGGTCTGGCAAGACCTGCACGAGTTTTACTATGGATGCGTCATCTATGGAAGCTTCATTCAGAGCAGCTTGGTGGCATGGATCTTTCGCCTTTGGCTCTTGGGCTCTTTGGCTCTTTGTTTGTTTGGCTCTTTGGCCTTTCCGCTCGGCTTAGGTACCACCACAGAGACAGCCCAGCGCATGAACGCCATGGAGAATGCCTCCAAGAATGCTGGGGAGATGTACGGCAAGGTGGAGCTGCAGTTCAACCGCGCTCGGCAGGCGAAGATCACCACAGAACTCTGCGAAATCATCAGTGGAGCATCAGCGGTGTGAGAGACTCGATCGCCGTCCTTGTGATAGAGCCATGTATTTACTGCGCTGACGCGACGTTTTTGGCGCGAGTGAAAAAGAGTCTCGAGATGGGAGACCTGGGAGGCATGGGAGACATGGGAGACATGGGAGACATGGGAGACATGGGAGGACTGGGGACGACTGGGGAGGCCTGATGCCTGGAGATATAGTTGGATGGGAGATTCAACAGCATGTTGCATATATTGCATAGGCATTTTGTGTTCTGGAGCAATCCGGTGTCGGAGTGGCGGTCCAGGGTCAGGCAAGCGAGCCCAGTGAAATTAGACTTGATCCTGGCTCGAGCTGCTCAAGCGTGATGTAGAGGCGCACAGAGAGAGGCAAAGAGAGAAAAAGAAACGAGAAGAGAAAGGAGCTTCCTGGCTGAGGCCATGCGTAAGGAGAAGGAGACGACATCTCTCACACTTTGGAGTTGCGCTGTCCATGTGTTTTTCATTTACTTGTTGGATGAGCTGAAACAAGGTGTCAGCTTGCCTCAGGACATCGTCCAAGTGTCGGAGTGGCTGGCATGTGTTGAGTCTACTTGGGCCCCTTACAAAAGATCGTTCACGACGTTTCACGACCTGGACTCTCTCATGAGCCAGCTGAACAGCTGCTTGGGGATTTTCAGGGCTGCCGCCCGGTACGGCCGATCCATCTTCTTTGCTACATTGTTAGCTGCTTTGTCTGAAGATTGCCTTGTGTTTTGTTTTCGTGTGTGTGCGTGTTCCTGTTGTGTTTTTTGTTTACCAGTCTCTTTGTCGGTTTTTAAGTTTGCCAGTCTGTTTGGCAGGAAAACTCTTTGGCGGGGAAAACTTGGTGCACGCTCGAAAAAGGGGCCGGTCTAATCTCCCGGACCAAATCAAGACGTGCGCCTGTGTTCAGGCTTATCGCGTGCTCAGCTTGTTTGATCCGCCGCCGGCATGGCTGCGATCAGCTCCGCAGCTGGCCACACGTGAGGCCATTGTGATACTTCACCTTGTTCTTGGGGAGGTCTCGGTCAGGCACAGCCGTCTAGCACAAGGTCCCCCCCCGAAAGGATGCTGTGTCCATGGCAGCCATCAGAGTATTTTGCAGCGCCTTTCAAGCCTCTTTCCAACGCTGTCCTGTCTGTCAGGAGGTGGCTGTGGACGCGTCTGACCGAATCAGGTGCCAAGGCAATCGCTTGGCGCGGGAAGCATGCTTCCAAAATGCCGAAGCTTCCATTAACCGGGCGCGTTTTCGCGACCAGTCCAGCCGTGTGAGCGTAGGCCCGTGAAGTCGCGCGCCGCGCCAACCCCTTTCACCAGCAACAACCTTGTTCTTGGGGCACAATATCTGGGATTTTGTTCGCGTGGCTTGAACGGCCTCTCCTGTGTAGACCTGGCTCCCAACCGCCCCCCACTCCACCACAAAAGCTGGACGCGTGTTGCGCATTATTCCCGGCCGCTGGGCCCGGGCGCTGGGTCCGAACTGAAGCAACTTGTTGAAGGCGCGTTGGTGAGAATTGAATTTCGGGGTCGGACAAGAGGCCGCGCGCAGGCTTTGTCGAAGTTGCCCAGCAAGCTGGACCAAGCCCGGCCGCCGGACAGCTTTCCCAAAGTGGGCCCGTTCCCCCGAGCAAGGCGAAGCGCTGGCACTGGTTGAGGAAAGCGCTCTGGGCCGAACCCTGCGCCAGATTTTGCTTGCAGGCTTGACATGACGTTGAGCCTCTGCACCTGCTGCCGCGCCGTCATTTGCGATCATATAGAGGGCTTCCTAGGTTCAGTCCACTGGCTGTCTTCATGGGTTTCTGATTGGCAGGGCCGCTTGCTTGAAACGGCTTTGCTACCTTGCGTGGCAACGCGAGGTTGATGCTACCCATTAAGACCTGCCGCCCTTCCAAGGGAAACATTTCAGGCGCGAACTTCAAGGTCTGAGCTGCGAGGCCAGCGTGTCCTATTTTGGTTCTAACGCGCAAACCGTCTCTTGCGGCCTGCAGCCTCCTTGAAAAGCTATTTCATTGTGACTCCACACCTCGCCATGGCTCTGGTGCTTGCGCAAGTCTCCTTGCCCATGCGCCCGGACATGCGAAACTTGTCGCGCGCAAAGGTCGACTTCGGCGGGGCAATCTCCTCTGCCGCGGCGGAGTTCTGCGGTCAAAGTTTCAAAGCGGCGATGTAGCAGAAGAACATCCAGAACGCGCGCAACAAGCCGCAGACGGCGTCGCGCGCTGTGATGGATCTTGATGGCGCCAACACTTTGGTCGCAGCCAGGCACATAGCGCTGGCTGATCTCTTGTGTGTGAGTGATGGGCAAGCAGACGTGCAAGCGCGCCAGCTGATTGGCAAGCTTCCATGGATCAGTGCGTGGCCGCCGGTTCCCTGACTGTTCCTAGCGGTTCTGGTGGAGAGCTCCTTAGTTGCCAGTGGGTTTGTAGGACTTCCGCGTGTTTTTCGGAGTAATCCCACGGCATGCCCTTGGAGCTCATGCAGGATGTCGCGCCAATTTCAAACTTCATCCGGCATCGGGCAATTGCCAAATGCCTTTCCAGCGCGGTTGGCGCGCCCATGGTTTGGAGCGTTGACAGCTGCTGCTGCTGTGTTGCTTTTGGCCCGCGAAAGCACTCACATGAGTCATCCTTCCTTTCAAGCCGTGTGGCAGGTCAAAGCCGAGGAAAGCGATGTCATCACAGAGTCTGCCAGTCAGAGGTGAGTGGATATCGTTTGATAGCGCAATAGCGTAATCGTTGCCTGGCAGGTATTTTGCAGATTTTCACGCCTTGCTCACCAAGCCATGCTGCGAGTGCCCCAGAGACCCAATGAGTTCCGGTTTGCGAGCTTTCGCAGAACTGGCCGTTTGTCTCTTGGGGCGACCCGGTTCAGCCAGCTGAGCACGTGCCAGTTGAGCCGAGTCCGTTTTGAGCGTATGTTTGAAGATGTCAACGCTCAGTTTGGTGGCTGTCTCCTGGTTTTGTTGGGCTGCGTCCTATGCTTGTGGGGGTGTCTTGGACGGGGGCTTGATCGCTGGGATGTCGCTGGGTGTGTTTGCTTCGACTGTCTTGGCAAAGCTGCGCTTGCTGCTCCTTAGGTTGTGCCGTGTGCGAAGCAAGGCAGCTAGAAATCTCGTAGAGGAAACCAATTCAATCAGCACGCGCAGCAACCAACTTTTTTACGGGAATCATGTTTTCGAATGCGCGGCGGGCATTCGCGGACACAGCCCTCGGCATAGGCAAGCGTTCGAAAAGAACAACCCTGATGTAATGTATTCAAATAGAATCACTTGCCAAAAGCTATTGTCGCGATTTATTTTGCGACTCTTGGGGCCTTGGGGCAAGATTTCTGGGCAGCATGTGTGAGACTCATCTTCTGTGGCGACAAGCTACAGAATCGCGGCAGGCGCTACACCAAATCGCCACTCGCTGTGTCACGAAAAGATCGCAGCAGCACTTGTGGGTGCACACTGCTCTTTTGCCCTTCGCTCTGTTTTTGCGTTGCAACGCCTTCTTTGCACCGTCCTTTGTTTGTGTGGGTGTTTTTGGGTATGCTTTTGGTCATGTGATGGGAATGTTGTTGGTGGATTACGTTTAGGCTGCTTTTCCAGTCATGTTGTTGGAGATTGCCCTTGGGATCACATTTTGCGTTCGAGTTCGTGGCCTCTGTCATGGTCACCAACAACCAAAAATGTAAAGCCAGTACCGGTCTGTCTTGACTCCACAGGAAGACACCGTAATTCCGATCACGCTTCCAAAAGGCGTACGCCCCTTGCGTAAATGGGTATTGTGGGAAACATCATGTTTGCAAGGCCCGGGTCGCGGGGATAAAGGCTTTGAACCCGCGTCTTTCGTTTTTCGTTTTCTAGGCCACGAGATTGCGGTGCAGGGGCCGCGGCCCTGGAGCTCATGGAGCTCATGGGAATCCCGCGCAAGCGCCCCCGAAAGGCCCCGCCGGGACAACAAGGCGCAGGCGTGCCTAGATGGCGCACATGGCGCGCACATGGCGCGCACATGGCGCGCACATGGCGCGCACATGGTGCTTGCTTGTTTTGTTTGCGCGGGCGTATCAGCGTATCGCAGGCCATCAAAGACTGTGAGGTGTTGCGGCAGGCCTTTGAGAACGAGGGAGAAGCAGGCGTGAAGCGCATCGCCAGCTGCCCAGCTGCCCACCCTTCAGACCGAATGAGCGAGGGGCTGTGACAAGGCTGCCAACATGGACCAGAAGAAAGCCGAAGCACGCATGTCTCATGCAGTTTGAAATTGCGTTGGGTTGCTTTTCTAGGCATCGGAAGTGCTAGAAGGCATGGGACATGCATGCAGGCAGCCAATACCTTGCTGTGCGTTCAGGCATTTTCAGTGCCATGCAGCGAAACATTGCCCCAGCCATGAGCTTATGTCGTTGAAGGCTTCAGCCATCCGAGATTTGATTTGGTTTGCGCCACGAGTCACTGGCTTCGCCCAGGAGCGGTTGATCCCGCCAGGGGAGGGTTGGGTGCGCTTCAACGACGAGATGCTGTGGGACCCAATGTCAACTGATGCTGACTGGGAATTCGGAAATGGAGAGGCGCTCCATACTTGACTAGGAGCCTAGGAGCGAGGTGTTCTTTGCGCAGAAGGGCTCACAGATGGGACAATACCTGGCCCGCGCCGGCGCCGGCTGCTTGGTGCGTTGGGAAAGTGCTCCTTGGGGCTCAAGCTGACACAACTTGATTAGACAAGGCAGAGGCCACCAAATTTACGCCAACTTAATGAGTCGATGTACCGCTCAGATTCTGATTTCTTCCAAGAGAGCTTTTTCTTCTCTAATTTATATATGATCGTATTGTGAAATAGGCCCTTGCAAGTCGAGTTGTTTTTGTGTTCGGACATGCTTGCTTTCAAGGGCCAGCTTCATGCATAGCTCCTGTGCCATCTTACATCTCGCATCCAGTGGATTGAATTGAGAGTCGCACGATTGTGCGTTGCACGAGGCAGGGTTCAAGCAGGTGGAGGCGCGGGGAAACGCGGGAAACGCCGGGAAACACGGGACACATTAGGCGATTTGAGCGATTGATTTGAGCGATTCGCACAGACGCCGCACGTGGCCACGGAGGCTGCGGTGGCCATGCGGGCAGGAGGCGCACACCGAAAGGAACGGGACAAAGGAAATATAGAAACATCGAGACGAATGCCACGGGAAGAGCCACAAGTTAAGCGGAACCACGTTGAACAGGGAGGAGACACGTGATGCACAAATGAGCATCAGGTGCAAATATCTTGCGCAAGGGGTCCAAGCTGGACAGGAGCGCTTGCGTGAGACTCTCAGTGGGGGTGAGCCGCATGCTTCAGGACAGTTCTGCTTCCAGAGCTGAAGAAGATCGCACGGCTGGCGTTGAAGTGGGGCTCGCAGAGCAGAAATGCCAGTAGATCGTGCAAGGGAGTCAGAGAGGTCCCTGAGGTCCCTGAGTGGCATTCCCAACTCTTTGAAGCATGCGACATGCTCAGGTGTCACAGCAAGTTCGCTCATTCCATGCAGAGTGTCAGGCACACACACACACACACGCGCGTGAAGTTCGAAGCACTTGCAGAGCACAACGATTCAGCAAGCGTCCAAGATGCCTCGCTCACTCTACACATACCTACTTTCGCTCACTCGACTTATGCTCACTGACTTACAACCACTCTCTCTCTCTCTCTCACTCGCGTTAAAATCAGTTGTTACTTTGCTTACAAGTGCAAGTGCTGTAGTGTTCAAACAAACAGTCAACCAATGTAGTCTGCAGCTGCCAACCTTTTGACTCATGCGGAGTAGTAAGCTCAAGGCCTGCGGTAGTGAACATACATGCAACAAGAGTGCAAAGTGAAGCATGTAGTTTGACACGGCCCCTCAGTTAAAAGGTCTTTGTAGTACCTTTTCAACTGAAGTGCAAAACATGGATTGACAGTAGTGATGAAAACCATTGTTGTTCATCAATTCTACTGTATTGGCAAAAGTAGTGACCTGCGCTCAGTAGTTCACGCTGTTCAGGTTCCAGCTCGATGTAGGGCGCTGGACGGAAGTAGTGAAGGCAGGCACTTGTTGTAGTAGAGCAGGAGCTCAAAAATGTAGTCCCCATTTCTGGGTGCGGTAGGCTTGGACCATCTGTAGTCGACTGTCCAAGGTCGCGTAGTAGTTGGTGGTGAAAAAGGTTGTCATGTAGTTTGGAGCTCCCCGTAGTCGCTCATCATCAATCTCGGGACACGACATGTGTTGGTCGTAGTCCCGTAGAAAGCGGTGTAGTAGTGCTTTGTGGTGTTGTGTGAGGTTGGTCATTGTGAGTAGTGTGAATCCGTAGTATTGGATGCTTTTGCAGAGGATTGTAGTGATTGCTTTGTGCTGGAAGTCGTGTAGTTGGTCTCGGTTGTAAAGGTAATGGAGTAGTTCAGGTAGAAGTAGTGGCATGTGGTAGTTCCAAACGTAGTTGTTCCTGAGGCTGTAGTTGTCAGTGAAGGTGGTCATGTTGTAGTTCACCTTGAAGATGGTCTGTGGCAGTGTTGTAGTCGGGAGGTAGTAGTTGTGTAGTACCGACATCATGTAGGAGATGTAGTCCCTTGTGAAGTGTAGAAATTGTCCTGAAGTGAGGTACCTCAGGAGTAGTGGTTGTTCAATCTGGAGTTGGATGATGACGTAGTTGGTGTTGAGTTCAGACTCTGCTGAGCTAAGTGCTATTGTAGCTTGTGTTCTGCTGCCAAATGCAACTGTTGTTCCTAGAAAGATGATGTTGAAACCTGAAGTTGATTTCCTGGTAGTAGGGCATCCTGCCCAGTCGGCATCGACATGAACGTCGAGATCCAGGATGTTGTTGGTGTTTGCTCTGAGTGTTGTTGTTGGTTCTATGGTGAATTTGTAGTGCTTGGTGCCGTGCAAGTAGCGTAGTAGATGTTTGACTCTCTTTTGTGAAAGTTCTGTAGGTGCTGTGAGGTCTCGTGCTAGTTCTTTTGTGGAGTATGCAATGTCTGGTCGTGTGTATGCTAACCATTGTAGTTTGCCAACAATCCTTCTGTACCTTTTGTGTTGTTCGTGGTCAAGTAGTGCTTCATCTTCTATTGTTGGTTTGTAGTGTGCAATTTCTGGAGTGTTTACTGAGTTGCAGTTGTTCATTCCAGACTCCTCGATCATGTTGTCGATGTAGGAGTCCTTTAGTCCAAGATTGCAGTAGTTGCCGAAGTGGTCGATGTTTCTTCCAAGAAATTGTTGTGGTTTGCCAGGTTCGAGGTAGCCGATGTGCTTGAGTAGTACCTGCTTCTGGACGGCCTCGAAAGTGGAGTCGACCGCAGTCTTGTCTCCAAGTACTAGTAGATCGTCCACGTAGACCATGATGTAGCAGTCGCGAGTCGCATTGGTGTAGACGTTGGGTTCTGACTTTAGTCTTACAAAGCTGAGCTTTTGTAACACTTCAGCCAGGTAGTCCTGCCATGCTTTTGGTGAACTGCGTAGTCCATACATGGCTTTCTTTAGTCGCCAGATTTTGTCCTGTTGTGGACAAAGTTCTTTAGGTGGCCAAAGGTAGACGTCACGTTGTTTACCGTCGTGGTCTTTTGCGATGGGTGCGTGTAGAAATGCTGTAGAGACGTCACCTAGTCGCGCGATCCAGTTTGGTCGTGACATTTGTAGTGCGAGAAGTGTCCGGAGTGTCGTGAACATTGGTGTAGAGGCGTAGACGGAGTCTTCGTCCTCGATCTTCTCGGTGTAGCCTTTTGCGACGATTCGGCTTCGTACTCCTGGTCCTTTCTTTCTGTGTACCCATCTTGTAGGTATCGCTTCTCTTGACGTTGTCGTCGACGGTAGACGCATCTACTTCGTCGTAGACGTCGTGTAGTTTCATTTGGTTTGACTCGTGTTTCATTCCTTCCAGTAGTTGTGTTTCGTCGTAACCTTCGTTGTCGAAGATTATGGGTTGGTCTTCTGAGGTGTCGTCGTTTGTGTAGGGAGTGATGGATTTTCCGTTGGGAAGTGTCACTGCGTTGATTTTCTGTCGTAGTGGTGGTGGTTCTTTGGTTGCTTGCTCCGTTGATCTGATTGTAGTGTCCTTTGAGGTCTTCTGTGCTTTAGTTGGTTGCATTACTTCTTCCGGAGTTAAACGTCGTAGTGTTTGTCGAGGTGGTGCTGGTAGTGGTGGATGTTGTCGTCCGGTTGGTGAAGTAGCCATAGGACTATCCGGTAGTGGTCGTGAACTTGACGTCGATGTAGACGGAAGTCGTGGAGGTGGTGTAGTGCGTTGTTGTTTTGTTGCGGGTTCCGCAACGATGTCGTCCGTCGCGTTCGTTTGTTGTCCGAAATCTTGCGTGGACCTTCTTTTCTCTGACGGTTGTAGTTGCGTGTCCAACAGTGTTGCGAACGATGGGTTGTAGGTGTTCCGTCGTGGTGCCCATGGTGTGCCGGAGACTTTGTTCAACAGTGCGAGGTCGTATTTGAAGTCCGGTTGTAGTCTCCGTACTGTTCGTACCTTTTGTACGCCTGATTCCGTTGCGACGTAGTTTTCGCCGGTTTCGGAAACTTTTCCGAGCCAGATGCATTTCTGCATCCGTAGGTCTGCTTTCGGAAGTTTCTTGTGTTGTGGTGGAAGGTAGAGTAGTGTCTCGCCAAATTCGCAGATTGCTCGCACGTAGTTTCTTCCCCAGCGGCGTTCGAAGCTTGTGTAGCCGTCTGAGTGAATGACGTAGCGATTTACCGTCCATGCTGCGTGTCGTACTATCCAAGGTAGTAGACAGTGCTTTGTGGACATCGTCATGCTGTAGTTGCTTTCAACCTGAGCTTTGACGACGCGGATTTGTCCGAGAAGTGTTCTATGTAGTCGCTCAACGCTTCCTTGACTGTTGCTGCTGTAGGAAGGTGAATGTCGTACACTCATTGCGCCGACTTTTGCTGCTGTAGCTTTTAGAAGTGCGTTGAGTGTGTCTTCGTTGTCGCTTTGTAGTATGCCTTGTGTTCTTCCGCACTCAAAGATGAATGCTCGTAGGTTGTTGACCATGTAGTCCATCATTGATGATTTGTCTGGAACCAATACTGCCATACACAGTTGTGTAGTAACATCAACTGCTGTCAGTACTGGTGTGGTCTTTGGGTCTTGTTGTGACTTGATGTAGGCGAAGTCTACTTGAATGACAGGTTGTCGTGATTGTTGTTTCTTGTAGTTGTCTTGGCGTCCTTTGCCTTGAACGCAAATTGGACACCAGTTTCTGTATGGTAGATGTGTAAGGTTGTGTTTTGCTATTTGTTGTGGAGTGGGCTGATGTGGTTGTCGTAGTCCTCTTGCTCTATGTGCTTCATGATGCTCGTGTTGTTGTTCTTCGTCGTGGTTCTCCTGGATGTACGCGTAGTCTTTCT